CTTCCCTCAGAACTGGTTCGACAACTTACTTCACTATACAACATTTGACTAGGAGCCTTGAAAACTCCTAACATCAGCCTCTGCAAGTACGATGAGCTTCAACCCCAAGGAAATAATTTAAGTCCTCAGGTTCTTTAACTGAAAACCGATCAGCCATAAGTTGAAGAATTCTCTGGATCCCCTGCTTTGTGTTTCCTGTAACCAAGATATCATCAACATAAACAAGGAGATATATCAGTTCTGATCCACGTTTAAGCACAAATAGCGATGTATCTGCAAGGGAGTTGAAGAAGCCAAGGCTGAGGAGAAATTCGCGAAGCTCATTGTACCAAGCTCGTGGAGCTTGTTTGAGTCCATATACTGCCTTTTTGAGTTTCCAGACATGGTCTGGCTTGTCACGATCAATAAATCCCGGAGGTTGCTCCATGTACACTTCATCTGTTAACGTCCCTTGAAGGAAAGCGTTGTTAACATCAAGTTGTTGAACTGGCCAGGAGCTACTCACAGCAATGTCAAGTACCAATCGCAGAGTCGTTGATTTTATCACTGGACTGAAAGTTTCAGTGTAGTCTCGTCCAAATCGCTGAGTGTATCCTTTTGCGACGAGTCTGGATTTGCAAAGCTTGTGTGATCCATCAGTGTTGAACTTGTTTGTGTAGAGCCATCTGCAGCCAACCACATTGTGTTGTGGTCTTCTGGGCACCAGATCAAAGGTATGATTGCGCACAAAAGCATCATATTCACTCGACATTGAGCCTCTCCACCTCTTATCTTTTAGCGCTTGGGTTATGGTATTGGGCTCTGCAGGAATATTTGATGATAAAGCTGCCATATAATTGTACCTCGGGTTAGGCTTATTGATGTTGTTTTTCCTCCTTGTCTGCATTGGATGTTGATTTTGTGCCTGAGGTAAGTCGGGAGGTAGTGATACTGCTGGACTGTTGACTTCTTCGGTATTTGATGATGACAGTGGAGGGACCGAGGGAGTTGTATCTGATGGTGCAGCTGATGTATTCTGAGACGTCTGCTGCGTTGTCGGAGCTGAGACAGAGTCAGATGAGCTATCAAGTGAAGGTGAAGATTCCTGTACCTGCAGATGAGAATCTGAGTTCGTTGGTTCCGTTTGCTGTACGAGTGGTGGCTGGGGTGGCGTGGGTGGTGTTTGGAAGATAGGGATTAGGGTTACTGGGGGAGTAGGTATTTGTGGTTGGGTTTCGACATGGGTTTGTGGCGTGGAGCTATTTGGTTTGGAAGTTTTGAAAGGAAACTGGTTCTCATCAAAACGCACATGTCTAGAGACATATATGCGCCCTGTACTTGGCTGTAAGCATAGATATCCACTCTGAGTGGGAGAGTAGCCGATGACACACATGGGGTTGATCTTTCTTCTAGTTTGTTGGTGCTGTAGGGGCGGAGCCAAGGGAAGCAAAGGCAACCAAAAACTCTGATTTTGTTATAATTGGGATGAGTTCCAAAAAGCTTGTGAAAGGGGGAATCCATATTGAGAACTGGTGTGGGGAGTCTGTTGATGAGATATGTGGCGGTTGTAAGAGCATACGTCCAGTACGAGCGAGGCATGCCTGAGTGCGTGAGAAGTGTAAGACCTGTCTCGACGACATGTCTATGCTTCCGCTCGGAGATGCCATTGAGTTCAGGGGTATGGGGCGGGGTGGTGAGGTGTTGAATACCAGCTTCTGCAAGGTCTGTTCGTAGGGCCAGAAACTCTCCTCCATTATCAGAATATAGGGTTCCGATTTTTGTCTTGAAGTGATTCTCAACGAGGGCTTTGTAGGTTTTAAACGTGGCGCGTACGTCTGATTTTTTTCGCAGTGGATACAGCCAAGTATAACGACTGAAGTGATCAATGAGGACAATGTAATACTTGAAGTTGTCGACAGAAGTAACAGGTGAGCTCCATAGATCTGTGTATATGTATTGAAGAGGACGAGTTGCAGAAATAGTGTTTTGAGAGAAAGGCAATTTGTGGGATTTATTAATGGCACAATCTGAACATAAGAGGTTTTGTGTTACAGAATGAGCAAAAGGTAATGAAAAACTTGAAACAATGTTTTTAAGAATAGAAGCTGACGGGTGTCCTAGGCGAAAATGCCAATCGGACATGGTAGTTTTGGGTTTTGGTGAAGCAAAAAAGGATTGAAGGGTAGATGGTTTGGCTGGCCACTCATACAGCTCATCCTTGGTCTTGCCTTGGATTAACGGAACTCCCGAACTGAGATCCTTCACCTGAAAGTGAGCAGGGAAAAATTCAACCGAAACTTTGTTAGCATTACAGAGGCGATAAACCGATATGAGATTCTTCTTGATGTTTGGAACACATAAGACATTATTTAAAAATAAGTCTCTAGGTTTAGAGGTTAGAGAGAGGGAACCAGTATGTGTGATTGAGAGCCCTGTTCCATCGCCAATGAGGACTGAATCCTCTCCATTGTACATCTGATGCATCGCCATGTTGTTAAGATCACTTGTAATGTGATGAGTAGCACCAGAGTCCATCAACCAAGCATTTGTTGGATTCTGAGATGCAACAACCATATTGGCTCTCGGCTGCCACGGACGATTGGTCATCATATTGTAGCCAGGGTTCTGATGCTGATGCAGTTGAGGACAACGCCTGGCACTGTGGCCAAAAATGCTGCAGATCTGACAGCGCCCTTGATAGCCTTTTGTAGTACGGTTGTCTTGTTTGGAGTAGTTGTTGCTGTGTTGAGAAGGCTTGTTGTTGTTGTTGCTCCAGTTTTGATTGTTGTTCCGATATTGCTGGTGTTGATTCTGTTTGGGGCGAGTGGTCGCCATGTTCGCAGTCATTGGGATGGGGGTTGCAGTAGGAACCGCTGAGACAGCTAGCAGCTTTGCCTCTCTGTTTATGAGTTTCTCATGAATCTCAACAATGGAGGGTGGTGTGTCACGTCCCTCAAGTTGATCAGCCACAGTCTTGTAATCTTCAGAGAGACCATCGACTATGTATTCAATCTTATCTTCATGATCTAAGGGCTTACCAAGGAGTGCAAGCTGATCAAACCTGCTTGTTAAGCCTCTCATGTATTCATCAATGGACTTCTCTCCTTTTGTGAAGTGTTTGAGTTGTAGGCGCAGCTGCTGGATGTGACCGCGGCTTGGAGTTGCATAGGTAGAGCTGAGCGATTTCCAAACATCATGAGCTGATTTGGTGTTGGTGACAAGTGTTTGAATTGAAGGTGAGAGAGTTCCCATGAGTCCACTGTAGATAAGGCGATCTTGACGTCTCCATTTAGTGTACTCTGGATTGAGTTCAGCAACATCGTTAATGGTGATCATCTGTTCCGGCGCCGGGAATGTTCCGTCAATATAACCAGCGAGGTTATATCCATCAAGGAGGGCATGGACTTGAAGACTCCATGTCATGAAGTTGGTGGAAGTGAGTTTGGTTACATTAACCATATTCACATTGAGTAATGATTTAGTATCATCGACAAGTTCTGCTGCGGCGGCCATTGAAAAACAGAGGAAGAACACGGGAAGAAGAAGAGAAGAGAAAGAGGGTGGCGGCCAAAGAGAAAAAAAAAAATTAAAATTTAGGGTTACCGATGTGGCTCTGATACCATGTAAGGTAAAGAGTATATTGATTGATCATCATTCTGTACAATACATTGTTGCTTATATACAAGAGCTAGAGCTTTAGCTAATAACAGTAACTTCCTAAAAGAGAGAGATTGCGTTATCAATGCAGAATATACGAAGATCTTTATTGTATCACTAACATGTTTGTCACTAATTCCTCGGGAAGGTCCACAACCATATCTTCTTCTTTTTTGAGTTTTTTTCCATTGATTTTTCTCATGATTTCTTCGAGATACATTCCTTTTGCCTAAAAGTCTGTATTATTTATACGTGTTAGGAATCTGACAAAAGAAGAAATTATCTTCGTAAAAAGGAAATCTAAGAAAACAAATCAACACAATTATATACAGTTTCCAATTTCCTGAATAATTGTTTTGATACCTCTTGTTAGGTTTCAAACCTTCTTGTGTGTTTTGAACAAGGATGAATTCTAACACCCAGAGCTAACACCAAAGCCCTTTTATTAACTGTCTTTGAAAGATTCACAACTACAACTTAGATCACAAGTGTAATAACCCAAATACAATCTAATGTTTCTCTTGGCAAGCTACTTGGTCTTAAGTTCAGAAAAAAAAAAAAAACTTGTTTTGGCCTTTCTATTATTGATTGTTATTATCTTTTTCTCTCTGTGTCTCGGATGATCAATAAAGTCGATGTCTTCACTACTTTTGGAGAAAACTTGATCTTCTTATATTCCCCCCCCCCCCCCTTGAATTATACTTTATATATTTANCCTTTCTATTATTGATTGTTATTATCTTTTTCTCTCTGTGTCTCGGATGATCAATAAAGTCGATGTCTTCACTACTTTTGGAGAAAACTTGATCTTCTTATATTCCCCCCCCCCCCCCTTGAATTATACTTTATATATTTAATTCATATCAATAACATGAATAAGCTGAATGACTAAACTTTCTTCATTATGTGCAGGTTTCGATTTTGGTCTGAGGCTGAAGATGGGCTCACGACCAAAGCAATTTAGACCCACAAGTGTGACAAATACAAAATTACCAATTTCTAGTAATTATAATATCGTGGATCAAATTAACTTCTTTACAAATCATCAAATTTTTACTAAATATATAGCAAGCCAAGAAAAACAAGTAGTTTATAGCAAAACCAAAAAAAAAAAAACAGTTCTATGATGTCCTTACGTTTTGAAGGTTACTTCAAGTAGTTACAATTTACAACTTCTCTAGCTCTGCATGAACTCACACTATATATAAAAACAAACTTTGTCTTTTGGTTACCAAGAAACAAACTCGATCTCACGTATATATAAGCACCATCTACTGATCTCATATAAAAAAAAACACATAGCTTGAAAATCATAAACGTTAACCTTCTACTTCAATCTTGATTCACATCTCAAATCAAGAACCATGGTTAGGTTCTTGACCCTAACGTTGATTCAAGTCTTGATCGTTTTGTTTGTGGCAAATGTCTTGGATGCCACGGAACTGAATGTAAGGGACAAATGTTGGAGACCAAACCCGCATTGGCGTAAAACCCATCGGTTCTGTCGGGTTTGCCGGAAAAATGACGGGAAACATCGGTAAAGGAGTCACACAATACAAAGTAACCGACCCTTCTGATGATCCTCTAAACCCTAAACCTTAAGATACGGAGCGAATCTCATCAAAGGCAAAAAATGGATCACATTCAAAAGAAACATGAAGATCAAACTTCACAAACCGCTACTAATCAGCATGTCTTTTTCATTCATGTAAATCAAAAGTATATGTAACGGTTTAAGTACGATATATACCGATAAGTAAATAAACATGACCATGTTGATTCAGTTGGAACACATAAAATGCAAACCAAAACAATTTGAGGCAAAACGCTTCAACTTATTGAGCATCCGTCAGCTAAAACAGTAACGTTCTAACATCGCCTTTTTTTGCGTTTCAACATTTCAGCGTTTTCTCTTCTTGATTCATGTACATGATGAATTTGACTTTAAATAAAAAGCCTATGCGAGTAAACAACAAAAGCATTGTAACGAAACCCCATGAATATTTGAAACCAACCTCGTCGTCATTAAGTCTAACAGAGACAAATGGTTTTTGATTATAACTAATCAAGGCAGTGATGATGTCTTGTCAGAAACAGAAGAAGACTTGTCCAGTGATTGAGCAGATTTAGAAGCTGTAACAGCGGCTTGTTCGTCTTGGACTAGTTTCCTAAGTTTGGTCTGAAGACCACGAACTCGATCCTCGGTTCTCCTCAGCTTCCTCCATCTATAAGCAGTCCAAAGGAAAAGACCGCCGTAGACAACAGTATAAGAACCCCAAACATATGGATAAGCTTCGGCGTGGTCTCTGAGTTTCTTGTATTGTTCTTCAATTGCTCCTACAAAACCAGGAGCCACTTGGTTTGGTGCTTGGCTTTCCTCATTCTCTAATCCCCTCTGCTCCGTCGTCGCCGATGCCATCTCAATGTCACAAAAAAAAATCAGCTTGGTGCTAAAAAAAAAAAGGCAATAACATAAGCTTGATATGTATGCTCTCGCTGTGTATAAAACTAAGGTCATAAAAGTAAGCTAAGAGATTCATTCTAGTGATCTGAAAACAATGTACTCGCTTGAGATCATCAACAGTTTCTTAGGGTTCGGAGTAAGATGCAATGCAGAAACCCTCGTGAGATCGATCTATTATGAGATTAAAACGCCAATAGTATTTCAAATTTTGAACAGTCTCTGAGGCATTTTGACAAACACTTTCTATGCATCTAGAAGATGGTATGGCTACTGGTAGAGAGAGAAATCACTTCATTTCTTCAAAATCATAAGCAGGATCTTATCTCTTCTAGGAATAAGACTAATTAAACGAAGTTACCTGGAGTAGATTGAAGAAGCGTTGACAAAGTCGTCGATGATGATTTCCCTAAATGAATAATCTCAGAGAGTCATCGCTGCTTAAACCCTAACCAGATCGAGATTTGATTGACTGATAGAAAGGTGCTGTTTGTTTCCGTATCGGTTTAATTTGGTTTATGTGGTTTAAGTTAAAAACCAAAGAATAACACGGTTTGGTTTTAATTTTACTTCTAATTTTATGGCACGCGCTATAACAACGCGTGATCAGTAAACGCGTTTCATAAATACGCGAGCAGAGAGACACAGCGATTCACTTTCCTTTAAGTCTAAACAGGTCATCGGCTAGAGAAAATGTCGTGGAGAGGAAAACGAAAAGACGACGATGTCCGAGCATCAGATGACGAATCTGAAGCCCACGCGCCGGCTAAGAAACTGGCAAAGCCAGCAGACTCCTCCGACGAGGCTGACGACATCGTTGTCTGCACTGTTAGTCTACTCCATCTCTCCCTCTCTCTCGCTGTAACATTTTGATTGCGTTAATGGGGACTTTTACTAAGTTTAGAGGTTTAATCAGTTTAGGGTTTACAATAATAGTTTTGTTGGGTTTTGAATTCAGATATCTAAGAATAGGAGAGTCTCTGTGAGGAACTGGAACGGCAAGATTTGGATTGACATTCGTGAGTTCTACGTCAAGGACGGTAAAACTCTCCCAGGCAAGAAAGGTAAACTCTTTTTTTTTTTCTTTCTTGTGAGTTTACTTCCTCCTCTTTGTTCTCACAATTCCCCCATTTCAACAATTTGTCTGCTCTCATCTGATTAGTTTAGTTCAGTTTTTGTTACTGTTTTACTTTGTTCAGTTTCTGCATCTCTATGTGATTCTCTGTGGATTGGGAATGTTTATGTACACTAGATGTTGAATTGATACTATGTGGTTAACATTAACATCTTTGCACTTCTCTAAGCCTGCTGTCTCTAGGAACCAGCTTTGCTTTCTACGCGTGCGTAATCATGTTAAATTGTTGATATTGACAAGTTTGTTATATGTTGCAGGTATCTCTCTAAGCGTGGATCAGGTAACTTACATTTATCTCTCATTTTTTATGACTTTCACAAGTCTTTGCTCTCTACTTTTATCTGCTTATGTCTCTTACACATAAATGTTTTCTTGCAGTGGAACACTCTTCGGAACCACGCAGGGGATATCGACAAGGCGCTCTCTGATCTTTCTTAGGTTTCTAAAACTTTGTATAACCGGTAGTAAAATCTAGTAGATGACTCGGTGTTTTTCTTTGGTTTTTGGATTATCTAAGCATTTTCTTCAACTGTAAGCTTCGGCGTAGCTTTGAATCTTTCTATCTCTTTGGTTCAGACAAGCCTTGGTATGACGTGATGACGTCAATGATACGCATTATAGTTACTCTTTATTTTCTGTTGAAAATTACAATTGGAGAAGATACATTGCAGCAACTGAAGTACGCATTTAACAATTGATTAATCTTTTAGTCACTTGATTGATTTAAATTTCTAGTTCGGAAACATTGTCCTATAGAGCTGGAACACCAAGCGATCCCACGTCAAGAACTCTGGGTAATATCTGCACCAATTCAGATCAAAGAATGCTCAAGTATTTGAAGGATGATAGATAAGATATAACACTACCATCTTACCTCACCAACCCTTGCACTGATTTTCAAAGGAACAATGTCATCAGCTCTGGTAACGCCTATATTTACAATTGCAGTCATTGCACCAGCTTCATGAGCCGCCCTGCAGAAAGGATAGATGCTTCTCAGTGAGATGCAAACTCAAAATCGATGGTAAGAGATTGTTTTCTGGCATTACCTGACAAGACGAAAAGCAGACATTGTCATTAAAGACGAACCCAACACTAGAAATGCATCGCTCTGTTTTGCAGCTTCCATTGCTTGAGCAGCTCTGTCCTTTGGGATATTGTCTCCAAAGAAGATTACCTTACAACAACCAAAGCATAATAAGAAATAGAACCTAAATGATTTGTCTCTTCAGGAGCTATGGAAACGATCTTACATCAGGTTTTAGTACTCCTTGGCACTTCTCGCATACTGGTATATGAAAACCTTCTTCCCAAAACTTCTCGTCAATCTCAATATCACCATCAGGTCTTTGTTTCATGCCAAAGCTCTTCTCTGATCCTGGTTCTCCATGATCAATGCTTTCTAGTGCTTCTGCCCACTACAGTAAGAACAACAACGTTGTAACTTTGCTGAGATACACATTAAGTCAGGTTATTCCAGTTATGCTATATCAATGACCTTAGGATTGAGAGCTTTTAGCTGATCCTGAAACGAGTCTCGGGGAAAAGAGAAGCCACAATCTAAGCACATAACAGTATACACTGTCCCATGTAATTCAAGCGGATCACTCCCAGCACGGTGATGCAACCTAAAAAACTTAGAGCTTAGAGTCAACAACATCCAACAGAGAAGAGGAGCTGATAAGTTTACCTGTCAACGTTTTGTGTTATGATACAATCAATTCGTCCAGCTCTCTCTAGTGATGCTAAAGCAGTATGAGCTGGACCTGGCTGTGCTGCAGTGAACCGTCTCCAACCAGCATAACTCCTTGCCCAATACCGCCTACGAGACCGGCTTGATCGAGTGAATTCCTGTGGAAAAAAGTTGTAGACTGTAAATTAAGAAAGCAAATCCAAATTTTTGCACTGACTTCAATCTTGCCTTCAGATATCACCTGATGAGTAATCGGTTTGAAACCAGAACTATATGCTCCATTGGGACTGCACCAAATAGTCACACGTCAAGATGGTGAACAAGAATGAAGCCATAATCAGAAAAGACCAAAATGAAAGAAGAAGAATAACCTTCTATAATCAGGAATTCCACATTCAGTGCTAATCCCAGCTCCGGTCAAGATGGTGAGTCTTTTACTAGACGAGAGGATGAAGAAAGCTATTAGATTTAAAGATCATATAATATATACTCACTTAACTTGTGAAAAAAAGATAAAGAGTAGGGATAACAACCTTTGCTCAAAAAGCTGATACAACTTTTGAATATCTTCCTTATGAGGAGGATCAGCATCTGGAACTATCTTTTTATCCCTAAGAAATCTAGGAGGTGCTTTTAATTCATTCTCCAAAGAACCACCAGGGATTGAAACTCTACACGTTGTTCTCACAAACCTTCTACATCCTTTAAACAACATAACCAGGTTTTCCCTAGACCGAAGTGGTTGACACATGGGGAAGAACATGTCTGAAAAAAAAAAAAAACACCTTTGCAACACATTCTCTCATTACATAACTAAGTAAGAAAGAATACTTGCCTGTAGCAACACCTCCCAACGCTCTTATCATTTCTCACGGAAGCTTAAAATCAAAGAAGAAAGAATGTAATTAACAATCATATCCTTAGGAAACCAATCAACACACACACAAAAAAAGTGATCTAGAGAGAAATGGCACTACTAAAAAGAACAAAATTAATGTATCAATCAACTTCCACCGACAGTAAATTCTGTAAGGAGACCAAAAAGGAGACAAAGAGAGAAGCTTGCAGGTTTGAATAATAAACTAATCAACGATTGAAATTACAAAACCAAGAAATACCTTGAGAGGTTGTTAATGGCGGATGAAAAGAAAGAAATGAGATTTTCTTATTCAATTTATTTTTTCTCCAGAAACAAAAAGAAGAGAAGAGGAGGGAGGGAGGGAGGTGGGAACAATCGGACGTTGGAAACTCATTCTTGGTTGAGTAAGTAGCCACGTTGCACATTTATCCACCGTTATGTGGTTTCACTTACCTAAACGGTGTCGTTTTTTAAAGACAAAACCAGAGACCCAAATTAAAACTGTCGCCACCGAGATCCCTCTTCGTCGCCTGACGAAATTTTTCGAAGAATCTCCGTCGTAAGTCAATCAATACTCCCATTTTTCGAATTGTTCTCATTTAAAATTGAGATATTTTTTTATTTCAGAAATGATTCGATTACGTTCTATTAGCTGCTTTGATTTTTTTTGTCTTTCTGGTTTCTCTCAATCAATCAGTAATCTTTTATCGTTTGTTTCGTTTTTTTGTCTGTTGTGATTGCTTCAAGTATGTTAGTTTGGTTGATGATTATTAATGTCTTGAGAATCAATCTTCACTATCTTTGCTTAGCTTACTAATAAATGCTTTGCTTTGCTTTTTGGATTTGAATATGTTTTGATAAGATAAGTTAAGATAGTTATGACTGTGAGAAAGATGTTAATTTAATGATTTCTTAGGAGTTTGGGAAGAAAGAGAGATGCCACACAGAACAAGGCCATTGACGGGACTGTTGCTTTTCACTGGGATAAACGCTGTTTTGGTGCAAACCATTACTCCTGTCTATGACTTCGTCTGCTTCTTGCCTTACTGGGAGAGAAGGGTATGTTTCTATGTCCCATCTCCTTAAACTCTAAGGCAATGCCCACTTTCTGTTTTAGTTAAGGACGTTATATTGTCTGGATAGTTTTTCATCAAAATGAAAGTCTTTTATAGAGCGTTTGGTGGTCATGTCCTATTGTGTCTTCATATAATTTTGCTGCTTCATGTTTTTGACACCGAGAGCGTTTACATGAGTTCTCTTGTCACTTAGGTTTAATTATAAACAAGTCATATTACCAAATGCTGAGCCAGTTAGCTGCATCTGTTTCTGGTCATAGGAGCTTAGCTATCTTAGTACAGTTGGTTATTTTGCATAGGTATCATGAACTCTCGGCTCTTGCATTGTAAAACTAACAAATTGGATCATGCTGCTGCATCATTGTTACTCCCAATTCTTTTTTGTGTGCATCTCATGTCAATCACCGAGACTAACTTTGGCTTTTTTGCTATTTAAATTGAATTTTGATAGAGAGAGCGAATCCGGAAGGAACGCGAATCATTAAACAGTAACACCTCAGCACATGAACCTACTCAAGCATCTCTTGGTTGATGAATTGCACGAGGAAGGCATGTGTTAATGTATACATTTTCTCTTTTGTAACAAACCGTTTATCCTATGATTACTGAATAATTTGAGAGCACGAGGAATGCATGTATACATTTCTGCTGGATGGACAGCTTACTTTGACTATTGTGAGGAGTCTCTCTTTTGAGCTAAACCATCCTTTTTGAATGTTGAACTCCAGCTACCAAAATGATCCAAATCAAGGCCCAAACTTTGACCTGTTGTTATCTTTAATGAGAGGACAAACATGGCCCATTAATGTCGACTATTGATAAAGATGAACAAAATGGTAACACAATCCACGGTTTCAAAAGCATACACACACAATATATATGATATTATTATTATTATATATATCGTCGTATAAGACAAGTAGTCGTATGAATAGTATATATGCGATGCTCAATGTTGTTAAAGATATATGTTCTAATGTTTCGACAGTGAGGTCCCAGTTTGTCTCCTTATCCAAATTCTTAAGCATATTCCCAAAAAAACTAAATACGACAAGAACACATAAAGTTATAATCCACCACAAAAGAAGGTATATATTACATGTTTTAGGTCAAGTTAGGCAGCTATAACATCAAGCTCCATGAAGCTTCCTATTTCAATTCACACAACGACTTAAACAAACAACTGCAAAAAGGTATGAAATCGATATTTCTCTATATATAATGTAAATTTCAGATCAAGTCCAGATACAATTTATCTGATTTTTGTAATAGGCAAAAAATATTATTCTATTGGTCCTATGACTCGTATCTTTTACTTTTAAAACTTGTTTGTTACCACCCAAAACGACAATAAACAACTTGTTCATCCATTATGATTAGGGGTAAGACACATCTTATAATAGTCAAGGGCTAATTCGATTTCAGTAATCTATCTTATTTTATTGGTAGCTTTGTCAGAAAATAATATTATATTCGTATTGGTTAATTGGTGAATGTTAATGTTTCTATCAAATTTCTGTTTTCCTAATTCTTTTCTTGCTATTGATAATGCTTTTGTTACCATTGGTTATGTAACTTTATTATGAAATGATGTTATCAGGATGATAGTTCTTACTCAGAAGTTATTAGACTTTTGAAGATGTTACTCATAGTTAAACAGATTTTGGAGAAAAAAATATAGATGAAGCTCCCTAAACTGTTATAAATGGCTAAACTTTCGAAATTAATTAGCTCAACTTGAATTCACATTTAATAAACTCTCAAGATTTCCTATGAATACATGCATAAAATAAGTCTTCATTGCACTTGATTATAAAATTATGTGTGTGAAACCATACGACTTATACAAATGTCTACATTAATATATCAAGAAATAAAAATCAGTACTGACAAAAAGTCCTGTATGACTAACAAAATTTCGTGTTATACATTAGTGGAATTCTAAAACTAAAATGATATGAAAGACCATGTCTTAAACAACACCAAGTTGAAGAGAACATAATCATATTTATATATGATAAGAAAACGTAAGTGATGATGATCATCAAACGGGGAACACGCCCACGTCAGTCCCTAATACACACCTACCTCAACTTTCATTTTAAAGATTTTCACATAGAAGAGATTTCATGTGCATTTTAAACCAAAACAAATCAAATCAATGAATTTTTAAATCGAGTCCCTAACTAATGCCGTTCAAAGGGGAAAGACTTTCTTTACGATACATTAATTTTATTTTCGTGTGCATTTGAATTTGTATGTACTATACAAATACTAAATGTCGAGAAATTTAATTTTAAAATACAGTATATGTAAAGGAAAAAAAAGAAGCCGCGAGTCTGACTACGATTGGCGATTGCAACTATATTATTGTCCATGTTAGATGACAATCATGACATCATCCATCAACGTGAAGAAACGTAGCTGTAGCTGAAATTTAAGAGGATATTAACATTTTTAGGTTATGCTATCTATATTTAATCTCTTTAAACTATATCCAGAACTGATCATACGAAAAAAATAGAATAGTAATATGCTGTGGAGAAGTTCACCACTGTAATGATTCATCGTCACTGTCCAATCAAAACTTCCACCTCAAGGAATGCCGACTTCTCACCATTTCAATATAATAAAAGTATGGCTTTCTTTTACAAACATAAAAAATAAAAATAAAAGTATGGCTGCTGAGAAAAATTATTGTTCCCACACAAAAAAAAAAAATCATAAAAGACCTTAGTGGTAAGTAAAAGAACAAAAAGGATAAGCTACACTGAGAAGCAGAGGATTAAGGTGCTGACACTCGAGGTCGGTCAACAATCTACAAAGGGTGCGGGTGACGCAAGCAATGACATCACTCCTCTCATTAAGTCGACCATCCACTAACATTAAGCCACGTATGTACCCAGCTGGCTGCCGTCAGCGATAGTAAAGAAAACGGCCGCTTTTTACCCGCACGTGCTTAAAAAATCTCCCCTCGTGTCATCATCCCTTCCCTCACCTTATTTATTTTCTTTCTATAATTGAATTAAATAATTTCGACGATTCTCGTCCTTATAAAAACTTCGTCACCTACACTCTCATCTCCTCGATTCCAATCTTCACCAGACGAAACCCACAGATCTTGAAGAGAAAAAAAAAAAAGAAGAAAGAAGACTTTTGAAGAATGAAAGCAGAGCTGAACTTACCTGCAGGATTCAGATTCCATCCCACAGACGAAGAGCTTGTGAAATTCTACTTAATCCGGAAATGCGCATCTGAGCAGATCTCAGCTCCGGTTATCGCCGAAATTGATCTCTACAAGTTCAATCCTTGGGAGCTTCCTGGTAAATATTTTTAATCTGTTCTTTTGGTTTTGAAAATCGTTGTTACTTGAGAGATTTTTTTTTTTTTAATTGAGAGATTTGTTGTTTTTTTATTACAGAGATGTCACTGTACGGAGAGAAAGAGTGGTACTTCTTTTCACCCCGAGACCGGAAATACCCAAACGGTTCGCGTCCTAACCGAGCAGCAGGAACCGGTTATTGGAAAGCAACCGGAGCTGATAAACCGATCGGTAAACCGAAGACTTTGGGTATAAAGAAAGCTCTTGTCTTCTACGCTGGGAAAGCTCCTAAAGGGATTAAAACGAATTGGATTATGCATGAGTATCGTCTCGCTAATGTCGATAGATCAGCTTCTGTTCACAAAAAGAACAACCTACGAGTATGTTCTGTCTTTTTTTTCTTCTATTTTTTTTGTTAATGTAATGATTTTTTTTAGATTGTTAATTTTTTTTTTTTTTTTTGTAAACAGCTTGATGATTGGGTGTTATGTCGAATATACAACAAGAAAGGAACCATGGAGAAATACTACCCTGCTGATGATGAGAAGCTTAGGACTATCACGGAGCACTCATCATCGCCTTTTGATACATCGGATTCTACTTACCCTGCACTGCAAGAAGATGATTCGAGCAGCTCGGGGGGTCGCGTGGTGTCACCGGATGTGAAGGAGGTTCAGAGCGAGCCTAAATGGGGAGAGCTTGAGAATGCTTTTGATTCTTCCTTGTTTGGTGGTGGTTCCATGGACTTGTTGCAGAGTGAAGCTTTTGTTCCTCAGTTCTTGTATCAGCAGCCTTCTGATTATTTTAACTCATGGCAGCAGGAGGAGCCGCATGAGCAGAAACCGTTCTTGAATTGGAGTTTTGCTCCACAGGGGTGAGAGAGGGAAGGGAGTGAAAGGTTTTTTTGGTCTGTGTGGTGATGTGTTAGAGAGAGAAGTAATCGATCATCTTTGTTTCTTTAGTAGTGAAAAAAAAAGATTTGTAGAGTGTTAATAGTTTCTTAATTAGCATCATCAATGTCTCATTGGTAGGCAAATTCTTGTTATTTCATCAGATAATTTATATGAAAAAAAATATACACATTCTTCATGATACTGTTGTACTAATGTAGATTGATAACCTTAACCACCTAGGAGCTCTTGCTCTCCAAAACCAACTTTTAGTTTCATAATCTTCATATTGTCTTATGGATGCGAGGTGATTTCCTCAATACTGTTGTTCCACTACTGGCATAACGTAATAGGGATTTTTTGGCATCACCATCGACAGAGGCAAACGAGAAACATCATCAATTTCTGTTTGTCTTTCTCTGCACTGCTTCAGCATTTTCCTATTTAATCCAAAGAGAGAAACATGCAAAACTTTAAAGCTAAACCGAAGATGAATAAACAAACAGGGAAAATAAAGGGATCATAGCTTACTCACATGCTTCGGTTTTACATTCCTAAAGTGTTCTATATGCTGCATTCTTCACTTCCATACATGCTTCTTTCCTCGTGTTAGATGCTCTGTGCTTTTCCATGTATTGAGTTTAGTTCCCATAGGTGTTCGTCTCCTTTACATGACTCTTCCATCAGCACATCATTTCAGCTCATTTATAAAAAGTAACTCATGTGTGTCACCTCCTTATACTGTTTGCTTCAATGCCTTCAAACATACTTTCACTCCCACCTTTTCCAAGTGCCACTTCAGGTTCTATAGCAACCCTATATTTATTGATTTAACAGATTCTCGGTTTTAACAGATTCCGCTAAAAAATATAACTGAAGACTATATTTTTTTAAATTAGAAGTCCACGTAAGTTTTTGGAATAGATCTGGTTTACGTAACATTTATTGATTTATGTATAAGCAAGTCCATGATAGACTTTTAACAGTTACACAATTATAATATTGAGTCTTCTTGATACTCTCCTTCCCTTTTTGAAAACTTCATTTTATCACTTATGGTCCTTTTCCTTTGGGTGACCTCGAGTGTGGAGTAGCCACTTTCGGCGGGATATCTGGTAACAACATTCGCAAGTTCATATCTTTAGGCTCTTTAACATGAGGTAGTTAGCAAACTTGAACCATAATTGTCTACAAACAAATTATTTAGACTATTTGATTTTGAATTTTGGCTAAGAAATTTACGTGGTGGTGGTGGTGGACGGAGGGGAATTTCACTGGCGCATCGAGAATCCGAATACTTGTTGGTAACTACAAAAAAAAAAAGAGAAGGCTTAAGCATTATGTGACAGATAGAGATTATGATCGAGCACATTTCGTTATAAAACAACGTATATAGTAAACTTGAACAGTTTTAAAATAACTGAAATTATAAGTAGACGGATACAAATACTAACATTTGTGACGTTTAGCCTCGGCAACACCAACTTGAGATTGGAAAGAAAGACACAGAAGCAGAGATAGAAGAAGAAAAGCAATTACATATGATCTCTCTTTAGCCATGTTAAGTGAAGATTGTCTTTGTTACATTGCTTGAATGATATTTATAAATACAAGGAAGCATCAGACTTCTGCACCAACTACATTCCAACTTAACGCGTTTTTTACTTTTGAATAATGACTAACGGGTTAATTGTTAGATTCAGGTTTATTATGGGCTTCCAACTTAAAACCAATTGGTGATTAGTGGATTGGCTCCAACCCTTTATATAGTAGTAGATTAATTCTTATATTTCCGACGTGGTAGGATCTTATCGCTCTGATAACATGATTCGGGTTTATTATGGGCTTCCAACTTAAAACCAATTTCTGCCATTCCTTTTTTTCTGGTATCCAACAAATTCTCAAGACTTTCTGATTCTGTGTTTCCAAGACAAATTATTGTGTCAGTAAGTTGAGATATTTAGTTTGGCTTCCGAATAAAACACACTGACTAAGCGTGTTGGTTTCTTCGATCAAACATACTTACAAATGCTGACACACACAACAAATGAGTTGAAGAGACTTTGTTCTGAAGTAACGTTCATCTTCTTCTTTTTATTATCGCAGTGTAATACCAACCTACATGAGTTCTTACTCTCATATATTGCCCTGTTTTTAATATATTCCGCCAAAAAACAGGTAAGTAAAGACTATTTCTTTTTAGGTTAAAGTCCACGTAACATTTATGATAGACTTTTGACAGTTATAAAGTTGACTCTTATTTTTCCCCAGTTACTATCTTAAAACTTTTATTTTTTGCTTACACTTTCTTAAAACTTCATTATCATGGTCCTTTTCCTTTGGGTGACTTCGAGTGCGGTGTAGCCATTGTCCTTATAGGTTCTGAAATTGAGAATACCATAAATTAACTCTTAAATTTTAAAATCAAAATAATAATATTGAATCTATAAAACATATATTGAACAGTTTTAAAATAACAGAAAATCATGGGTAGACGAATGGAAATACTAACTTGTGTGACGTTTACCCTCGGCGACACCAACTTGAGATTGAAAAGAAAGACACAGAAGCAGAGATAGAAGAAGAAAAGCAATTACATATGATCTCTCTTCAGCCATGTTAAGTAAATATTGTCTTTGTTACATTGCTTGAATGATATTTATAGAGTTATTCTTAGGTTCACCCTAAGGGGTGAACCTCTAGGTTCACCAACCAATAGAATGGTGTTATTTTATATTTGATATCTTTGTTAAAAGGAAATAAAATCTTGTTAATTTATATTATGTTCTTAAAATAAATAAAAAAATAATAATATTTGAAAAAACGAAAAAAAAACTTAAAAAAAAAATATTTAACACTAAACCCTAAACTCTAATCCCAAAAACCTTAAACCCTAATACTAAACTCTAAACCCTAATCCTAAACCCTAAACCCTTGGATAAATCATAAACCCTTTCGGAAAATCTTAATCCTTGGATAAATTAATACTAACCAATTATACTATTTTTTATTTATTTTTATATTTTTATTATAAACACATGTTTTTTTTAAAGATATATTAAAATATTTTTTGTTTTAAATTGTTTTTTGCAATTATTATTGTTTTATTTTATTTTTATCTTTTATTTTAAAACATAATATAATGTTAAAATATTTTTTTAAAGATTTGTTTTTCGTGTTTTGATAATATTAATATTTTTATTTATTTTTTTCTATTTTTATTTTAAAAACATAATATAATTTGACAATATTTTCTTTCCTTTTTTAAAAGATATCAAATATGAAATAACAACATCTTATTGATTGGTGAACCTAGAAGTTCACCCTAGGGGGTGAACCCAAGAATAAGTCATATTTATAAATACAAGGAAGTATCAGACTCCTGCATCAACTAAATTCCAACTTAACGCCTTTTTTTACTTTTGCACAATGACTAACGAGTTAATCTCTGCCATTCTTTTTTTCTGCTATCAAACAAATGCTCAAGACTTCTGATTGTTATTTTCCAAGACAAATTATTGTGTCGGTAAGTTGAAACACTGTGTAAGTGTGTTGTTTTCTTCTATCAAACATACTTACAAAAGCAGACACACATAACCAATGAGTTGAAGAGATTTTGTTGTGAAGTAACGTTCAGCTTCTTCTTTTTATATAGCTCCAAGGAGGAGTAATCTTCAACCTTTTTACCGAATCACTGGACCTTTATAAAACTCGTCTGTGTAATGAAAACATTGTTTCATTGAAGGGCTTAACAAGTCCATTATAGACTCTCTGAGGATTGAGATCGAAAGAAGATTAAAGAAAGACTCTCATGACAATGTTCACGCGTTTTTTTACCTGCTCACATTTGCAGGAAAGTCAACTTCACATATATCATTATTACATTATATTGTCTACTTCAAACCTCAGACACGGTTCGAAAACAAAAATGTTTTTTTTTTCAACGTTTAGTTTTTTAAATTTCCTATAAACCATGTTTATGCTACCTAGTCAGTTACAAACCCATCATTGGTCGTTGACAAAAACAAAACCGAAACTCATCAACATAATCAATCTTTATCCTCCACTTCCTCTGACATTTTTTTCTGTTACCTTGATCCCCAAGCTACTAAACCCTATTCTTCTCCAATCGATCCCGCTGCAAGGTAAGTTTATTATAAACATTTGTATTTCACTATTTGTTTGGTTTATTATCTCTAAACGGTATTTCACTATTTGTTTGGTTATGAATTTCATTTATTTCTTTTACAGCCATGAACTCTAAAGGTCAGAGACACTACTCCGTTCTTACCAGAGCAGAGATTCATGAGAAGATAATGAAAGAAGTCGTTCAGATCTCTCAAGTCTTTTCCCTGTCGCTGTCTGATGCAACCGTAATCCTTATCCATCTACGTTGGAACTCGTTCAAAGCGTCAGATCATTTGGGAGAGGACAAGGACAAGTTTCTGTCAGAATTAGGTTTGGTTGGATCCAAGTCTCCTTCTGATGAAGATCTTGAGGTGATCGGTGAAGGAGATGCTAATCTCGTCTCCACGCCTTTATGTTCGCATAAGTTCTGCACAGATTGCTGGAGAGATTATCTCAGCAAATCTCTTGAGAAGAAGAAGGAGGAGGAAGAGAGAGTACTACTGATCTCTTGCTTGAGCCAAGACTGTGTAGCTTCCGTTGGACCAGATACAATCGAGAAACTCACAGAGTCAGTGAAGGAGATTTACGAGAGATACGTCTTAGGAACGTTCGTTGAGAGCAACAACGAAACGATCAAATGGTGTCCTGACCCTGACTGCGACTACGCCATTGAGCGTCATGATTATGATCCATCAGAAGACTTTGATGTTGTGTGTTTGTGTGGTCACATATTCTGTTGGAGTTGCCAGCTCGAGTCACACCTACCTGTGACTTGCAACAACGCTTCCCTTTGGTTGAATCAACTCTTGGATGAATCAAGAAACCTTGCCGTGATTTCTAAAAGAATCAAACATTGTCCTGAATGCCGCAGACTTGTAAAACATCACGACGGAGTATGGAGCTGTAATCAATGCTATGCTTCACCACCAAGCAATGAGTCGGCTCTCATACGTCACATGACTCTCTGGGATGCAAATCATAGAGTACTGCAGATGTCTAAATCGGATCTTGAAGCCATTGAGCCAAAAATCATGGATGCTAATTCTGGTTTAAGAGAAGCATGGATGCTTATTCTTCAGTGCAGACGTATATTGAAATGGAGCTGTGTGTTTGGTTATTTCATAAGCGATTACCATATCGCCAAGAAGCAGTACCTAGATCTCGTTCGAGAGAAAGCTACCACAAATCTTGTTACGCACAAAAGGACTCTACATGAGGTGACTACTGGAGTCATCTCAGGTGGAGATGTCACTGTCTTCAGGCAAAAGTTGAGAGACACAACAACAAGAGTTGGTAACTTCTTTCATAACTTTGTCAAGCTTCTTGAAGATGGTTTGTCTGATGTTAAGGTTGATGCTTATGAGGATGTAACTACTGATTACTGGTTCTGTGATCGCTGCACGTTCAAGAATGACTGTTTTGATCAAGAGTGTAGGATGTGTGTTTTTTCTTTTGAGTCTCCTCCTCATGTTGCTTTTGGTCACAGCAACAGTAGTACAAGTTCTCATCAACAACAACAAGTCCTAGATGCTTCGAATGATCCATTACCAAGTCAAGGAGGAACCAAATGAGTGATACTGATATGTTTCTTTTCTGGTTTCATTTAGATTCTCTTTTCTTTTTTTCATTTGGCGGTTTAAGACTTCAGGGTCTCTTTTGTGTATTTATGTTTGTGTTTCCTTAGATTACATGAACACATGTTAAGTTTGTTTGTGTATGTTTTGAATAAACTTTGTTGAAAATCGGATTAATCAAGTCAGTAATTAACCGGAGAAAAAAGCTTCCACATTCTCCCATGGCCTTCACACCATAGACTCCCAAGGAACCAGTGACTCTTAGTGGGTTGTTTCCATTCCCCTCACAGATTCCACTATTGTGAGAACGTTCATGACATAGAATTTGTTTAGTGAATGCAAATGACACTAATTCACCAGGAGAATGCATAACTCCACGTTTAGTTACCACTCTTTGTTGACTACTTCAAATGCTTTTCCTTGTCTTCCAAGTTAAAACTATTTGTTTTAGGTAGAGATATTTCTTATGCTATGTTCGGTTCTTTATGCTTTGTTCGGTTCTGATACCATTTGTAATACTCTGATCGTCCATGGCTAATGTACATCCCACACATGTTTACTTAGTATTTAGGTCCTCCGGGATGTATTTTATTTTTCGAAAATTTGAAAATCTTGGCTATTAATCCTGTAATTATTACATGATCTTTTCTGTTTGTTTGGCATCACACGATATTGGAAATCATTTTACAATAGGTTATCCATCATTGCACTTTTCGAATTGAGACATGATTAATTCTTGAGTTCTTTCAAAATGTGTAACTAAAAAGACAAACGCACGTTAATGAAGTCAATTCAATTCCTTTTAACCTTTCAAAATATACCATAAATCTAGATGTCATAATTGTATTTTTTTTTCACTTCATAGCAGTCTGACCAAGGTTCTGTCTAGTTATTGATTATAAAATGGTGCCGTATGATACTCAAATGTATTAGTTTGAAATATTAGAATGTATGTGGGGATTGAGATCACAAGAAGATTAAAAAAAAAAAAAAAAAAATTTGTGTGTTCACGCGTTTCTTAGCTGTGAATCTCTTCCAACTGATTGCGTCAACGTCAACTTCATTCACAACTGATCATTTATGAATACTATACTACTATTATTTTGCCTTCACATTTCGTACACTTCGAAAACAATATTGTTTCTCAAAAACGCTGTTTATCCGTGTGTAGTTTCTTTTTTTTTTTTTTTCTAAAAAATCCTATTCAACGTCTTCATGCTAGGTAGTCACTAATCGACTACTCGTTGACGAAAAAAAAAAAAAAAACCAAAACGAAACTCATCAGCATTCATCTGAGATTTTGCTTTAACTTGCTCCCCAAGCTACTAAACCCTATGTCTTTCACTAATTTTTGGGTTTGAATTTCATTTCTTTTTGTACAGCCATGTACTCGATTAGGCAGAGACACTACTCCGTTCTTACCAGAGCAGAGATTCGTGAGAAGATGATGAAAGAAGTCGTTCAGATCTCTCAAGACTTCTCTCTGTCCCTATCCGACGCAACCGTAATCCTAGTCCGTCTTCGCTGGAACTCGTTCAAGGCTTCAGATCTTTTGAAAAACGACAAGGACAAGTTCCTGTCGGGACTAGGTTTGGTTGGATCATCCAATAAGTCTTCTTCCGGAGATGCTAATCTCGTCTCCACGCCTTTCTGCTCACATAAGTTCTGCACAGAGTGCTGGAGACATTATCTCAGGAAAACACTAAAGAAGAAAGAGGACGAGAGAGTACTACTTGTCTCTTGCTTGAGCCAAGACTGTGTCGCGTCCGTTGGACCGGACACGATCAAGAAACTCACAAAGCCGGTGAAGAAGATGTACGAGAGATACCTTGTAGCATCTTTTGTGGAGAGCAACAAGGAAACGATCAAATGGTGTTCTGACGGTGACTGCGGCTACGCCATCGAGCGTCATGCGGAGGATCCATCAGAAGACTTTGGTGTGGTGTGTTTGTGTGGTAGCATGTTCTGTTGGAGTTGCCAGCGTGAGTCACACCGACCCGTGACGTGCAACACTGCTTCCTTTTGGTCGTCTAAACTATTGTATAAAACAATGAGGCTTCAAATGATCGCTGAAAGGATCACACATTGTCCTGGATGCAACAGTCGTGTGGAAAATCAAGATGGAATATGGAAATGCACTGTCTGCTCTGTTTCCCAACCAAGCAATGAGTCGACTCTTATACGTCTCATGACACTCTGTGATGCACGTTATGAGGCAGTATATCAATCTAACCAAGATCTTAAAGCGATTAAGCGAAAGAGCGTTCCAACACTAACCGCTCATTGCGGTTTAGGAGAGGTAGACATTAAGGCTCTGAGAGAAGCATTGATTCTTATTGTTCAATACAGACGTGTTTTGAGATGGAGTGTGTTTGGTTATTTCATAAGCCATTACCATATCTCAAAGAAGCTGTACCTGGATCGGCTTCAGGAGAAAGCTACGGCAACTCTTGTTACGCACAAAAGGACTCTTGATGAGTTGGTGAATGGAGTCATCTCAGGTGGAGATATCACTGTCTTCAGGCAAAAACTGAGTGAGACAACAGGAACAACTCGTGACTACTTCAGTTTCTTTGTAAAGACTCTTGAAGATGGTTTGTGTGATGAGGATGTATAACCACTTATTGATTACTGGTTCTGCGATCGCTGCACGTTTCTGAGGATGGTGGTGCTTATGAGGATGTATAACCACTGATTGAGTGATAATGATATGTGTTTTCCTGGTTTCATTTAGATTCTCTTTTGTTTTTTTTTTTTCATTTGGGGTTTAAGACTTGATCAGAGTCTGTTTTATGTTTCCCTATTACATAATAACACATGTTAAGTTTGTTTGTGTAAGTTGTGGATAAACTTTTTTCCCGAAATCGGATTAATCAAGTTAGTAATTGATTTAGTGAATGCAAATGACACTAATTCTTCAGGAGAAAGCCTAATCTCCATTCTTCGTTTTCATTATTTATTTTTGTTTTTTAAGACTACAGTGGCATGTAACACTGGATCGGCTTTTACTGATTTGATATTGGCCATGGAATTAACACTTTTAATTATAAAAAAATTGATGGGTGATTGTAGTAAACTAGTATATATAAAGGCTGTTATGTTTCATTATGAATTCACGTTTCTGAGTTAGAATATTTATATTGTATCACAAATAAATTTGTAAAAGCCAAATATTAATACATTTTATAATAATAGCCTACAAAGTATTACCACATTACTGCAGTTTTTATTATTTTTACAATATATATATATATATATATATATATATAATTCTACAAACCTTAGTATTAAGGATTTTTATGCATAGACATGTATCACACATCATTTTTTTTGTATTATACCCATTAAAATAGTATTCTACATATAAAATATACAAAAAAATTCATCCTCGAGTACTTCCCAATTTTTTTTCGATTTTTCAATAAATCGCTAGGCCCTAGTGCACCGCACGCGTAGCGCCTAGCGAGTTTCCGAACAAAACTTTAAATTGCTCTTTCCTTGTCTTCCAAGTTCAAACAATTTGTTTTCGATAGGAGATGTTGTGGTGGTTCTTCTCTTCTCTCTCCTAATCCTGGAAAATATTTCTAACACATGTATGTGTATGAATCTTGATTAGTTGACGCTAATGTTGATTCTTTCAACGTCTAATTAATCTCAAAGATTATATTATTCGTTAACCTAAGTTGAAACTTTCTTTTTAAAATAAACTATTCAATGTGGGTGTGAATATGTACAAAACAAATGTTAAGACGAAATTTGCAAAAAATCAGAAAACTAGAAGAACCAACTTCAAAAAAAAAAAAAAAAAATTACCACTCTACCGAATTTAATAAATGGGGAAGACGTAGCATTGTTTCTATCCATCAGTTTCTTCTTCCTTCTTCATCTTCACCATCATGTGATTACATTAACAGCTCAATCTACTCCATGATCAATTCTCTCCTTTCTTCACATACAGAGAATAAGAAGAACAACGATCCATTTAACCTGTGCTTAAGTTCTTATCCTTTATTGGAAAAATGTTGACTAGAGCCCTCGTTCGAATTCGAATCTCTGGATCGAATCATCTGAGTGGAGTTTTCGAGAATTCGAAATTGGGTACAATTGGTGTTTCCTTTAGAAGATGGGTGTCGAGCGAGAGCGGGAAACGATTTGCGGCGATGTGGGGAAGTGGAGATTACGGCAGATTAGGGCTCGGGAGCTTGGAGTCTCAGTGGAGACCTTCCGTTTGCTCTGCATTGAGTGATCACAGTATCAGAGCTCTCTCCTGCGGAGGAGCCCACACTCTTTTCCTCACCGGTGAATGTTCTTCTTCATCATGTTTTTGTTTGGATTGGTTTTTAATTTGGGCCTATTAGTGTTTTTGGTTTGTAAAGTATTATACTTTGAATCTGATTATGAGCTTACACACACATTTCTACACATGTGACAACAGAAACAAGGAGAGTCTTTGCAACAGGTCTTAATGATTTTGGCCAACTTGGCGTCTCGAATGTTAATACTCATGCTTTGGTATGTTATGTTTTAAAGACTAAGTTTTTGTTCTTCTTTGCTTCTCTGTTTCTCCACTTGTATTTTTCTTTTTCTTTTTGAAACAGTTTTTACTTTTTACATGTATTTATCTCAGATTAATTCAATTGGAACTTGTTTCTTGTATATTAACGTTGTAGGAGCCGCTTGAAGTTTCTGGAATTGAAAAGGATATAAAGCACATCTCAGCTGGTTATAACCACTCTGCTGCTGTTACAGGTAAATAAGCTCAGTGTTTCTATATTACATTGTCATGACTTGAACCTGATACATGATCTCCTACATGATCTTCTGGTGTATGTTATTTTTACTTTACTCACATTTTTGCTCTGTTTCTATTTATTAGTGGATGGGGAACTCTATATGTGGGGGAAGAATACTAGTGGACAGCTTGGACTTGGAAAAAGTAAATTACCTTTTCTGTTTTTTAATAAGTTACGGTGCACTGTTATTTAGTGTCCCTAATTCATCAAAGTTGCTTATGAAGACGCTGCAAGAGTAGTACATGTTCCAACCAAAGTGCAGGCTCTGAATGGGATCACCATAAAATCAGTGGCTTTGGGTTCTGAGCATTCAGTTGCTGTTACTGGTACGGATCCTAGATTCTTAAACCCCTGTTTTTTTTTTGTCTTTTAAGTAATTTTTTGGAACAGATGGAGGCGAAGTCCTGAGTTGGGGAGGAGGAGGATCTGGGAGACTTGGCCACGGTCATGAGTCCAGTTTTTTTGGCATCTTAAAAAGTAAAAGGTTGGTCTGTTTTGCTTTATTCCTATATTTATTTCTTTCTCATGCAGTTTTTACTCACAAGAAATTTTCATATCATGATTCCTTCATAGTTTTCTTGTACTGCGCTTGTAGTGAGTTTACTCCAAGGCTTATCAAGGAACTAGACGGGGTTAAGGTAATTTCTTATATGAAGAACTTCTATTTACCTACTGACGGTTTTAATATTTATACTTTCTTGCTTATGTTTTCAATGCTTTTTTTCGGTCGAGCAATAGGTTAAAAACGTTGCTGCTGGTCTACTGCATACCGTATGCACTGATGGTATTGTGTTACTTTCTTAAATTTTGAATGTTGAGGTTACTGTCTGTCTGAGGTTTGTTTCCAAATAATGCAGAGAATGGCTCTGCTTTTATGTTCGGAGAGAGATCTATAAATAAGATGGTAAATAAAATGTTGTTTGCCTAGACTTTCTATGTTACATTATAGTTATCTAAAGCTATTTGGTGGAAACATAAATAGGGATTTGGAGGAGTAAGGAATAGTACAACACCATCCATTATCAGTGAAGTGCCATACGCAGAAGAAGTTGCATGTGGTGGTTACCACACATGTGTTGTCACAAGTAATTCTCTATTATTCTTTAGTACCCTTTTCGATAGGAACTCAGTCTCTGTTGTTTTCCTTCGTTTTTGTAAGGAAGTGGGGAACTTTACACTTGGGGTTCAAATGAAAATGGGTGCCTTGGCACAGAGTAAGTCATATCCTAATTGATTAGTATGTTTCCTCATAAGATATGGAAACAACTTTCTTGCACTGTTACATGTATTCAGTTTATCTTAATTTGTTTTAGGTCAACATATGTCTCACACTCCCCCGTGAGAGTCGAAGGTCCTTTCTTGGACTCAGCTGTATCTCATGTATCTTGTGGGTGGAAGCACACTGCAGCCATTTCAGGTATCTTTTTTGGGGGGTGGGTAGAACATTTTTTTATCATTTTCATTATGCAAGTTATTCAACTCATATCTGTATTGTGTTTGTAGATAACAAAGTCTTTACATGGGGCTGGGGAGGTTCTCACGGCACTTTCTCTGACGACGGGCACTCCTCCGGTGGACAACTGGTTTGTTTCGTCATCTTTGTTGTCGATCAAATCTATGTAACAATTAGCTTATGTGAATGCAGCATCATTACATTTCTTGGTTCACTTTGCTACTATCTAAAGAATCCGTGAGACATGGCATCAAAGAGAATAAGTTCTATGGTATGTGTAATTGTAGGGACATGGTAGTGATGTAGATTATGCAATACCAGCAATGGTGAACCTGGGAAAGAATGTAAGAGCAGTGCATATATCTTGTGGCTTCAATCATACAGGAGCAGTTCTCGAACATTTTTGAAGACTTCATGGAATACATTTCATATACATACGTTTTTGTTTCGTTATACTTTCTTAATGTTTTGTACATCAGAATCAACTCAAGGATAGAGCTCTATTTGTCAAAATAATATACTACATATATATAATTCTTCAACTCTTGAGGGAGATACATACTAATGGACCTGTATTTGTAGAATAATATGTAGTAACAGAGGAACAAAATAATAAAGTAATATAATTAGTGAGTAGTGTTTTTGTATTTTGCTCTGTAATTTTATTTTTACAAGACTAAAAATGATCAAACACTGCATCTACACAAAACCTTCTGGAGATGCTGCAGCCACCTACATCTGTTGAACAAAAGTAAAATTCGTCCACCAATACAAAAATGTTAAAGGTACATGAGCAAACTAGAATTTGGAATGGTAACCATCACATGCATGTAGCAGTTTAGCCTCTATTCTTGTTTTTATTAAAACGAGGCATTAGAAATTTGTGAAAACAAATCATGTCTAAGCAAAGACTAAAACAGATTACAAAGAAGAAAAAAAAAATCCCCAGAGTTTGTTGTTGTCAAGCTCTTACATTAGAACCAATACACAAAAACACATTTATAAAGAGGCAATGCTATCAACGTGGTTGGGTGAGAAAAATGCGCAACAAAAGCCTGTGAGTCCATAACGGCTCCAAAACTCTTCAGTATCTGCGACTCCATGGATCCTGACTCTTCTCATGTCTTTCGTGTCTAAGTTGTAGTAGAAAACATAGAAGGGCTGGGCACGGTATGGTAGAGTAGTTGGAGAGAAAATGATTTCACCAGCCTTGTTGGTTCCCTGAGAGCTCACACTCTTACCCATCCCAAGAGAGAAGGGAAGAGAGAAAGGAAGCTCAAACGTTTGTCTAGACCAATCATGTTTCTCCACATCATCCAGTATCCATAGATCAAAACGGTCGAAACAAGGACCATCAAAAGGGTGTGGTACAATGACACCTAGCTTCCCTTTGTATTCAATCAACATTGAAAAAGCCCCACAAACCAGGACATCCTTAGGGGTTGTGATAAAACTCAGTAACCTCTCATGTCTAACATCAAAACACACAAACACAGGAGTAGCTCTTTGACTTGGAGCACAAGCACCAAAATAAAGGAAACCGTTAATGTTTATTCCCATAGTCATAGGGAAATAAGGCGGGGAGGTAACTTGACTACGAGATACTACTCCTCCTCCTCCTCCTCCTCCAAGTGTTATAACCTCGTGCACCATGAAACTAGGGTTACCATACGGACACGACACGAGGGTTAATGCTTTGAATTGATCATCAACAGGATCGTATCCCAATCCAAAGGATTTCCACATTTTAGGGTTGCAGGGGAAGGTAATGACTTGCCCTGTGCTAGGGTTACATATAGTGAATTGTAAACGTTGACAACAAGCGAGAAAGCCATGGACGGAAGTACAGTTGAAGCCGCCGTTCATGGTCACTGAGGGTATTGTCATGTCTAGAGTGGCTACCAAAGAAGAAGAAGATGAAGAAGTTTGCTCCTCTCCTGAGAAGATGAAGAGACGCTTGGGGTCACCCTTGATGAATACATTGTTGGTGAAAGCGACTATAAACCGAGTTGGCTTCGCAGAGGATATAGTCGGAGTCTCGTCCTCGTCCCTGGACTCGTCAAGTTCTTTTTGGTGATTGGTATTCATAATAGGTAATCTTGTCAGCGTAGCTATAGATTCCAAGATAGATAGATGGATGATTTGTAGATCAATCTTTTATTATATAAAACAGAAGTCAGTCGAAGATTCTCTGCTTGACACGTGTTTTTAAATTAACTTTTATTTAATTTTTTGGACAGTTTTCTCTTAACTTTTTTCCAGTTAACTTTATTTTTTTTAACATTTTTATAACAAAACAAATCAACAATTACCAATATGTCTAAATTAACTCCCCACTTCTACCACTCACCCTCTTTATTCATCTAACGATTGTCTCTGATATCAGGAACTTGTGGAACAAGGTTAGTTGTGCCTTTGCTCCTCAAGTTCATACACCTGAGATACCAAAAGTAGATGAAGACAAAGTATTAGTAGCTAAAAATAAAAAGGTGACTTAGTCTCAAGTAAGTGACTAAATCTCAACGTCCTAATCGACTCAGAATTTGGCAACGGCGCCAATTTGATGTTAGGAGNGACCTTGGGTGATCATGTTTCGAATCAAGATGGAAAGCAATCAATTAATCTGTCTACCTTAAGCCTAGATACTTTTCTAAACAAACTCCATGTCTAGATGAATGTTCATTTGCTAACATATTTCAAGCATCAAATGTCTTTGGTTGAATAACATGCAAGCAATCATTAAGAATGGATCTAATAGCTATTTTAACACCTTCAACAACAAGTGTCCTTGGTAAAGACTGTTAAAAGCATAAAAGAGTTGACTCAGACATTTCATCGAACACCTTTTGAGTGAGAAATGTCTAGAGATCAACCTTTGAATGATCAGTTCAAAGAAAGCCTTAAGATTACTCTAATATGCAAGGAACAGGAAGAATCTACACGTAAAACATCTTGATTCTAACCTAATCACCCTTAGTCTCCCTAACCCATGAATTCAAAGGTGATTACTCACTAAGGTTCATGATCACTCTTAAACCCATTCTAGGTTTCGGATTGATCATAAACAGAAACAGAAATCAACGAGATGAACAATTAGAACAATAGAAATCAATGATTCCAATAGAATATCTT